ATAATCGTCCTGGACGCAAAGCATGCCCCGAGACAGCGAACAGTGTCAATGGTCTATTGCCCCTGAGCAAAGTGTACTGGAAATGGCGTGGTGTGCTGCAGGTGCGGCCGCGCAGTAGTCAAATCGGGGGTTTTCCTGGGACGCAAAGATGTCCCGAGGCAGCGAAAGTGTCAATCTTATGCCCTGAGGCCAAATGTTTTATGAATGAGTGTGTGTGCAGGTGCGGCCCCGCTGCAGGTAGTCATAATCTCCTGGACGCAGAAGCATTTGTCCGAGGCAGACGAAATTGTCCAATGCTTATGCCCTGAGGCAAAGTTATGAATGGTTGAAGTACGTGTGCAGGTGCGGCCGCTGCAGTAGTCATAATCGTCCTGGGACGCAAATGCATGTCCGAGACACTGAAAGTTTCAATGCCTATGCCCTGAGGCAAAGTTATGGAATAGTGGTGTGTGCAGGTGCGAGCCGCTGCAGTAGTCATAATCGTCCTGGACGCAAAGCATGTCCGAGACAGCGAAAGTGTCAATGTCTATCCCTGAGCAAAGTGTATACTGGAATGGGTGGTTTGTGGCAGTGCGGCCGCTGCAGGTAGTCATAATTCGTGGGGCCTGGGGAGCGGGCAAAGCATGTCGCGAGGCCAGGCGGCAAATTGGTCCAAGCTTAGCCCTGAGGCAAATGTATGGAATGAGGTGTGTGCAGTGTGGGCGGGGCGCGCTGCAGTAGTCATAAGTCGTCCTGGGACGCAAAGTGGCGGGGGCGGAGTGTCCGAGACAGCGAAACAGGTGTCAATGCTTATGCCCTGAGGAGGGGGGCAGGAGTGTGATGAGTGTGATGTGGTGTGTGTGTGTGGGTGGGGTGGTGGGGGGTGGGTGGTGCAGGTGCGGCGGCGCTGCATATCATAAGTCGTCCGGGCGACCGGCAAGCATGCCCGAGGCAGCGAAAGTTCAATGCTGCCCGTGCTGATGGCCAAATGATGGAAAAATGGGTGTCGTGTGTGCAGGTGCAGCCGCTGCAGGTAGTCATAATGCTGTCCGGGACGCAAAATGCATGTCCGAGCAGCGAAAGTTGTCAATGCCTATGCCCTGAGGCAAAGTGGTATGGACGGGTGGGTGTGTTCAGGTGCGGCCGCTGCAAGGGTGCCAAAATGTCCTTGGACCAAATCATGTCCCGAGGCAGCGGAAAATGTCCAATGCTTGATGCCCTGAGGCAAGTGTGATAGGAGTATGGGGTGTGTTGTGTGCAGGTGCGGGCCGCTGCACGGTAGTCATAATCGTCCTGGGACGCCAAGCATGTCCGAGCAGCGAAAGTGTCAATTGCCGTATGCCCTGAGCAAAGTGTATGGAATGGGTGTGTGTGCAGGTGCGGCCGCTGCAGCGTAGTCATAATCGTCCTGGACGCCAAATGCATGTCCGAGACAGCGAAAGTGTCAATGCCTATCCCTGAGGCAAAGTGTATGTAGGGTGGTGTGTGCAGTGCGCCGCTGCAGGTAGTCATAAATCGTCCTGGACGCAAATGCATGTCCGAGGCAGCGAAAGTGTCAATGCTCTATGCCCTGAGGCAAAGTGTATGAAGGGGTGCTGTGTGCAGGGTGCGGCCGCTGCCACGTTGTGGCGGCGCCGCTGCTGGCGTGGCGGTGGTCGCCGTCGTGGCCCAGCGCCCTCACTCTACGCAGCACCACGCACGGGCGCGCGCTCGCCTGCCACGCCGCCTGCCTCATGGCCTCCAACGCCTTGCAGGCCGCCTGGTTCTTCTCGCACGACTGGCGCAAGAGCTGCGACGGCTTCGGTGAGGTTTGGATTTACCCTCCTGGGCAGAAATGTTTTGGTGGAAGGGGGCGGGAGAAGAGATGAACGAAGTGTGCGGACTCTTTTCACCAACGTTTCCCCAGTTCCTCCCTTAAATGTTCACATGTTCCAACACTGAAAAACAGAAAATTAAACTAGGAAAATTTAAGAAACGTTTTATAAACAATATGTCCTCTGATGCAGGAAGAAACGGAAAGTTCTGAAGAATTAGAGGAAGCAGAATTACGACAAACCCCCTAAATGTACTGAAGGGCACCAAAATTAGTCGCAATAATTACTGTCTGTAAAAAATATTTATTTTTAAACAATTGTTTTAAAATTGGAAATAGCTTCTCACTCTAATGCAACTTTCAACCTTTCTGGCAGTTCGTGCTTCGGAATAATACAACGATGGAACCACAAAAAAATAATAGTACGTTCATAAAGGTCTCAGTGTAGATTACGTGATTGAAAACATTTTTATACGCATTGTCCATGTCCCTGACAAGGACACAAAACTCTTTTTTTCAGGCTCTGTGATGCATTAATTCAGAGTTGTGAACGAAGGGGAAGTATGTCGCGGCGTGCTGTGTTTTGCGGGTTGCAAGTGCGCCTGAAAATCAGTCTAAATTTAAAATCAGTTTTAAATGTCTTTGAAGCACCCCAATAGGTGATATTCTATCCACAAGTAATACACGTGTGGATATGTTTGTCAATAGTTTCTGATAAAAAGTAATAATTCATCATCTTTTCTAAGAATATTATAAAGAGGGAGGCAGAGAGGATGCACTGACCTCTTTTATTTCGTAGGCGCTACATTTACCATAGAATCTCCGCCCTACTGGAGAGGGAATTCTTACACTGGCTTTCTGAACCCAAGGTCCAGGGTTGAAACCTAACGGAGGATTGTGGATTATCAAAGAGCTAAAATTCTGTGTTCAGTTTCACGGTTATGGCACATAAAATAACCTGGGATAAAAGTCTAGGAAAATTAAAACCTGACAATTTCCTACCTAATCATATTTCACGTTTTTCTTTTCAAAGTTTCTCTACCAAGAAATGGGAAAAAGATAAACTTTTGTGGTGTTGGAACCAAATGGGAGATCAAAGTCAGCATTCGATGCTTGGGTAGTGCCAAATTTGAAATACCAAACAATACAGCCTGCGGCACACGTGGGCATGTGTCCAGAATAGATGCGCTTAAACATCACAATAACACATATAGTATATCAAATAACTGTTCGTAAAGTGATTTGAGAGTGAAGATGGAGAGAACTAATGAACAACGATTCACTTCTTGTAGCGCATCTTCTCCTCGGTGCTCAACGCGCATTACTTTCACCTAATAGCCTGCATCAAAGTGTTGTATTAAAACTTGTGAACAAATAAACACAATTCCAAACAATTCATACGAAGCCCAGTTTTACGAATGTACACTTAATAACTCATAAGATCTATTTAAAGAAATGGCTGACAGATTGAAATGAATTAAAATGTATTAAATTCTCTTTCTCTCTCCAAAGCAAAAAGGTATACTACATGCTATAAAAATAAGAAGGTCCAATCTACCTAAAGATTAACTTCACCTCAGAACTTTAAAACATGAAACTCCCTGAAAACTGCAGAATATACGAAACACGAGTACTAAAAATCTATTCTAATATTTAACTTGAAAGATAAGTCGTTTTAAAATGCTTAGATTCAATTTCGTAAGTTTCCTTCAAGTTGACAACCTAAAACAAGATCTTTAAATAAATATCTCAACATAATTACTAAAGATAAAAAGCAACTAATTCTATTACAATAAGATATCTTGGCAACAACTCTGAAAAAACGACGAAATGTAAGCAAAATATTTTGATCTTTCGTTTTCTATTAACATTTCTTTAAATCCTTTCTTTTCCAATTATAAATCAACCAAACTTTCTAATAGTTGTTTCACACATTCGGAAAAAATTAAATTTCTTTCAGTAAATGTCCTACAGTATTCAAATATATAATGACAACTAAATATTTCGGTCTCTAAAGCATACAGTGGAATAAACAATTTTATTGTGGAAAAATATCAATTCAGAAAATACTTTTATTAAGAGGAACGCTTGCCTTAGACTAAATTATTTTCCGCCTTTTTGGACGTTAACTTTAAATCACCCACGTCCCAATTCTAATATAGATCATTCGAGACCGAGTACTTTTCGTTCTAAATATTTACCCTTTAAAAATACTCCTTACTCGTATTTATTACACATCAAATGTTTACTTATCAAAATTAAATTATCTAAAGCTCAATTTTGATTTCAGATTATTCACAGTAATATATCAATTACTGACACTTTTAGATCATATTGCTTTTAATTTCCAAAAATTTTAACATGCATAACCATTTAATTTACATATTGAATAAACTTTCAAAAAAACTTGGCGACGTGGATTAATATGTAATACATAAAGAGAATATAATTTATCAAAATATTCTACAAACAATTGAAGTTTGTTTGAAAATTTTAAAATTCCAATAAATCTAGAATTTTCTACAAAATTTCAATAGTCAATTAGCCGCAAGCTTTCACACTTCTTTACCTTTTGAATATTTATATTTCCGATTTGACATCTTTCCTAAACTCCCTAAAAGGTATATTCATTGTTGATACTACATTGTTTTCACATTTTTCTATAACTTATTAAATTGTTGAGTACAAGGAAATGTATGAAGATTTTTATAACGTGGTTTCATTATTAGTAAATTACTATTAATTCATCAAAATGTCAAGATAAAATGTTTCCTTTATGCTGCATAACAAATATAAATAATTTTATAAAATAAATTTCAAATGTGCAACTACTTCTACGCAATTCAGTTCTTCCATCAAATAATTCTGTAAAACATTTGGCCTTCGCTTAATATCGAACTATTTGATAAAATACTATCTTGAAAAGACCATTTAAATACTATGGCCAAAAAAATATTTAAATTATACATTTCCATCGATATACAAAGCCTCCTATTAAAACTGAAACAATTATGGTGATTAACGGAACGAGTGGATAAGGAAGGGTATAAGTGCATGAGTGATATGTTCAAGAAAACGAGCGACGATAGGACTCTTTTAACACGAGTGCAATTATATTCTTTTATCCAAATGTTACGTTGAATGATTGTTCGTTTCCATTTAAAAATCATTTAAATTTTTAGAATTTCAAGCACCTTTACCATTTGAGGTGACCAATTGATGACGCTGCATTGTTTTAAAAATTATTATTTTTTTGAGCCTTGTATTGTATTTATTTGCAAGAAATGTTTGCAAATTAAATGTATTGATCATATTCCGGATAAAATATTAGAAGAAGCTGACATATGAAAAAAATACTTCCTACTAAAAGTTAAGAGACGTATGAGAGAGACTACATGATAAATATTGGCAAGTAAAATAAATCTAGTGACGTGTGACACAGTTTTGATAGCATACTTATATAACGGATAAATACAACTAACGTTTAAATATTTTTACATTTGTAATGCTGAGACCAAATGTTTTACATGTCTAAATTTTAATTTATTCTTGATGAATGTTTTATGTTGTTTCATTAGTGAACTAGTTTAACGTTTACTTTGCAAATTTATTTTTATTTGTTCGTTGTTCATATGTTGTTAGTACGTGTAAGTACGTAATCAATGATGTGTGTGACTGTGTGATGTGTGTGACTGTGACAATGATCAATGTGTGACTGTGTAAGTACGTAATCAATGATGTGGTTTATGCTCAATTTATGAATTCTGATTGGTAGGTATGAAGTTTTAATTACACGGAGTTTTTATTGCACATGTAAACAGAAATAATGAACGATTTCTCACGGAATTAATTATCATATACAGTTAACTAAACGAATAAATAAATTATACTTCCATCTTTCTTAACCATGATCATTCTGGAGAGGAAATTCTAAATACAATTTTATAAAATGAAATAAAATGCTATTTCTTACACTCTCTAAATATCACTTAATTTTTTCGGAAACAACAAAATTTAAAAAAAAAGTTAGAGAGAGCTTCTTACGAGATGGAAAATAAATTGTTTTAAAAGGTATTTTACATTAAATCCTAGACCTGCCTAAGGAAAATCTTGAACTGCTAATTCATATACAAGAATAAAAAGTAGTCTCTCTAGAATCATGCAACATCCATCACAAAATATGCCATCTCGATTATTCTAAATCCTCTTAATCCGTCCAATAATTCGGTAACAAAATTGATGTATTAAAATTCACTCTAAGAAGGTTTGCATGGACTTATCGTCAATATTGTTATTGTTTGTTCATTGCATATTATCAATTGTGCTTACGAAATATGAATATTGTAGGTTCTCTATGTTTAATATAAAACCTTGTATAGCAGTAATATTGAACAAGGAAATGTATTTTTTTTAATTTCTGGAATGTACTTATGGGACTAAGTAGCTGAAATAATAGGCGCAGGTATATTGTGAATACAGACCGAGTTTGATGAAAAGATGGCTCCGTGACTTTTCGCAGCGTACGCCATCTACTACTTCTTGGTGGCCGGCGCCTTCTGGCTGAACGTCATCTCCGTCAACATGACACAAGGCTTCAGGTGAGTTACATCAGTTTTTAAAATGAAACTTCCACTTTCCTTATGTTTCGTTATAAACATTCGATTTCATTATGATATAAAACTAGTAGCGCTGGACCAAACTTTCTCACATTATTTGTAGCTATTGCAAGTATAAAAAATTCGGAGATACCAACGTTAAACCCCCAAAAACAGACACCTGTTTTTAAAATCGCCTTTCATTAAAGCAAAATTACGCGACAATTACTAATGTTTTAAAAAAATTGTACTACATGGTACTCATTAAATATCTAATTTTAAATAAAAAATTCTAAAGAAAAATCTCTATATACAACATTGTATTGGTATAAAGATTCTGAAAAAATGTACTTTTTGAAATGTTCAATTTCAAAATTCAGGGAGTTCAACAAACATGCATTTTTATAAGCGTATTTGCCCTATCAGTGAAAAAATAAAGACAAATTTAGAGCAATTTTTAAGAAAATGTTCTTAAAATTTCACGTTTAAGTGCTCTCAAAATGAAAATATGTTACGAATTGAGAGCTCGCGATATTAACCAGATCAATAGGAGAATAGCAATATTAGTAAAAATCCTTCTTCTGGTTTAGTTTCTGCCGTTGTTGTCGGACGGACGTTTCACCAGAAACAAATCCTTCGGTCACATGGACACTCAAAACGTGAATTCTGACTACGCAACGTGTTACGGGAAGTAAATTATTACACATAGAAACAAGAATTTCCCCCTTTTTCCGGATCAGGAACATACAAAACGAGTTTAAAAGTCGAAAAATCCCCATTTCGTTGCAACCGTATAACAACCCCTTTTTTTATCGTAATTTGTGTGGGAGATAGTAACTAGTGATGGTACAGAACGGCGCATCCTTTCTTGTACTACTTCGTTTCCTATTGGCTCATTCCAAGTCACGATGTCTAGGACTCCCCACGAGAACATTTCGGGTTTTCAGGGATTTTCGTTTGCCGAGTATGTATCAAAGGAATTTTTGAACGAGTGTGGAGAAGTTGTAGCTCTATAGGTGAAATTGTTTTTGAGATACAGCTTTTGTTCGTTTGTTTCGTATTTGACTCCATGTTGCGTTCTTGTACGGAATGACTACAAGATTTTCACAATTTTGAGATACAATACTTCCTTCTCTGATATTGCTAAAAAATGAAAGGATGCTTTCGTGTGTAACTTTTTTCGGTATATTCAATAAAATTAATATCAATTTTACATTGATTAACAGATAGTGGGTAATTTGTAATGAACTCCCCGAGCAAAGTTAGTTTTCACAAAATATTTTGTTTTCAGATTTTTACATTAAATAGCTTTTTTTTGAAATTTGTGTAAGAAAAGTGAAACATGGCTAGTAACATATCAACGTTACATTGTTTATAAATGCATAATTTAGAGTTCTTACATTTTATAGTAGAGTCGTTACACCTTTATTCTTACGCCAAGAAGATCCATCGTGTTACACGTGAGGTACAAGATAATATATATTTTTTATTTATATTGGTATTAATAATAAAATGTGTCAAAATACTTTGGAATAAGATTTTGTAGGTCAAAAATCACACAATTTGTCAGCACTTTTAGGTTTTTGTATATTTATTTTAAAGATTGATCTTAGAGCAAAAGGCTTAGTGCTGAAATACCCGACACTTAGTGGTTTTTCACATTATTCAGAACATTTAGAATTTTCGAAAATTAAGTAATTTCAGCGAAAACGAGACCTACGTCATTTTTAAGCGTCATTTACTTTAACCAAGGAAAAAGTTTTAAGAAAAAATGAAGAAATTTTTGAGAAAAAAATACAAATTGCATAAAATTCAATCAGAAATTACACACAAACACCTACCTTTATAAAAATAATTATACATGAACCTCTTTAAAGACCATTTTTTAGAACATGTTTCATTTATTTAGATCTCTCTACTATATGAACGCAGTAAGGCAAGGAAGAAAATATCACTTTCTCAGTATTAAAAAAACCAAAACGTGTATTATGACTACACTACCCCTTACAAATAGTAATTTACAACATATAGGAGCAAGTAAACACAATTACCCTCACATCCAAGACCCATAAATAGATATTTTCTGTCAAAAGATCGCCAGTTTTCCATACAGCATTAACTTTCTATGGAGTAATACACCGTGTATTACTCCATACATTTAAACTCAAACGAGAAAGCAAGTAATTGGTTAGTTTTGTTTAAAAAATGTGTGAAATAATAGGAAACCAAATCAGTTCATCCTATACACAGAGCCTAATATTGATACAGAACATCTTTTCGTTTTACTTCTATGTATTCGACGCCTTTCACTTAAAACTCACATTGCTTTTCCTCTCCCTGACTGACCGTGTCCGTGAACATGCATTTTAAAAATTGATATTTTCAAAAATATTCATCCACACATGTGTGAAGCCAACAGCGAAGATGGACATCTTCCGCCTCTATTCCTGGAAGACTTTTTCTCGACAGCCAAAAATAGAAATGAGGGCTTTTTGTACAAAAAGGAGAATGACGCATGTGGGAATTATCACAATCAAAGCGTTTATTTCTAGCAAATCGAGTTACATCAGGAAGGCAATTTGAATGCGTGTTGTTTTTTTTACTTGCTCGATTATCCATTTCAGACAAAGTTATGAAATGCATCCGCATTGGCGTCAGCCTTCCTTTCTGTGGACAACACCAGCAATTACACCGTATCCTGCATAGGATTGTCTCCAAATCTTAATTTTCCAATTGATGTGGCAGAGCTTTAGGAATCTGAAATGGCTATTATGATTTTTGTGGTTCTGAATGTAAAAATAATAGCATATTTCGAAAATGTTTCAAAATTTTTAAAATCGTTTTACTGTGGAAAAATCGTCGGCATAGAAAGTGAAGTTGAGATAGATGTAAAATACTACTTCGGGAAATTATCCATCGATTTGCTGTAGGCAGATCGCATTGGTAGTTTCAAAAAATATATTTTTAAGGCCGTCATCTGTACGTGATAAAAGATTAATTTTTACCACTAGTGAAACAGAGAGACTATTCACAAGTGTTTTTATAAATTTGAAAGCAACAAAATAAACTTTAGATTCTCAGCTACGACTGATCTTAATGTATCATGGTGCCCGAATAAATGATTTGTATTCTTGAATTAAAATAAAATGAATGGCTGTAAAAAAATAGGTTTGCACATGTGATAAAAGTTATTTTATTTTTCTCGTAAGATTGGGTCACGCGGCCTATCGATCTTTGGTCCAACATTACCTACTCGCAAAATAAAATGTCTCTTAACACTCATATCTTAATAACTATTTTGAATCAAAGCTCATCCTTTTGAAATTATTTCTTCGTTAATGAAATACAACAAACTCTATATACCCACTAGTAGGAGTAATCTCTGAAAAATTGGGTTTTGTTCTTCAGTGGCGGAAACTCAGAATCGCGACGGCCGTGATAATTCCCGTCGCCTTGTCTGCGAATTGTGGAAATCCGGTGTACCCTATTATACTAACCAGACTCGAAAAGAAATCCACATGTCAGTTAGATAACTTTATTTCACTATTACTGTGCTTATGTTATTTGGTGGCAAAATACAGAAGTTTACATCTATTAAAATAAAATTGGAGTGTCTGCCTGTGATGGAAAACTCTTTTTTTAAAAATCTCATATGCGTTTTGAGATGATAAAAACAACTCAAATTATTTTTACGATTTTTGACTTTTTATCGGGTTCATCTCTGTAATTGCCAAAACGATTTCGATGAGATTTTTACAGACGTAAAATAAAGATTTTCACAACATTTTTGCCGGGCGTAACATATCTTTTTTTAAATTATAATTTTCTCTTATATGAAGAATTTGTATTCGTTTATTTATACAAATCTTTATTTTTAATTCAATCATAATGAAATGTTGTTCACGAGACTTTCAAAACAAGACTGAAATTACTGTGTGAATGATATTTCGAGAAAATGAAAATTATATCCGTCACCACTTAGTGCAAAATTTAAGTGTGCACTTTTTTATTTGTTTCAAATATTTCGAAAAGAATGATGATATATATCTTGGAAAATTAAACCTTTTGAAAGCAAAAATTCCTACTAAATAGTCTTAAACTCATTCCAGTAGTGCTATTACGCTTTTGAATGAAATAGGTCAAATCAGTTGCTGCACTTTTGCTGGAAGTTTAAAGCTTCCCGCATCTACATAGGTGGTAGGAACGATGATCATTTCAATCTTTGTCGGATATATTGACTGTGATATGACCATGTGAGAAAGGACAGAATTAGGTTGTGGGCTGACGTAGGGTAGGGAGGCCATTGTGGGTATACACTATCGATAGAATATATTCTTGTTCCTTTTTAATAGACGTCTCTGAATAATAAATTCCACGGTAACCCGGGGTTCCTACGTTAGTATATAGTATAAATATACAAATATTCATGAGGACCAATCGCTAATTGAATAGAAATACGAAATGCTCAATTAGTTACATTAACGCGATTATTTCTCTCGTTATCTTCTCTCTCTTTTCTCTCTCTCTCCCTTTTTCTCTCTCTCCCTTTTTCTCTCTCTCCCTTTTTCTCTCTCTCTCCCTTTTTCTCTCTCTCCCTTTTTCTGTCTCTCCCTTTTTCTCTCTCTCCCTTTTTCTCTCTCTCCCTTTTTCTCTCTCTCCCTTTTTTTCTCTCTCCCTTTTTCTCTATCTCCCTTTTTCTCTCTCTTCCTCTCCCTCTTTCTGTTTCTCTCCCTCTTTCTCTTTCTCTTTTTCTCTGTCATTCTTTCTCTTTCAACTCCTCCCTGTTCTTTCCCTCAATACACAACTGTCAATCGCGTTGCCTGCTAAAGCAATTTCCAGGCTTCAGAGCTTTGTAGTGCGCAGCTAAATTTATGAATGCGCTAAAAGCTCTTGCGCTGGGGTGGTGTGCGCAGGCGCCCGCAGGGTGCGCGGTCGCGGGAGGGCGGCGGTGGCGGGCGGCGGCGGTGGCGGCTGGTGCTGTTGTACGCGTGGGGGCTGCCCGCTGTCTTCACCGCCGTCTGCATCACCGCCCACCAGTACGAGAAGGAGGCCCAGCGACGTGGCTACGTCACGCCCACCTTCTTCGAGACCAGGACCTGCTTTGTAGAGTACCATCACCAGTCGACGGACCTCCAAGGTAACTACAACTGGACCAAGGGTAATTAAAAGGCGTGACTAGGGAATAAAAGTAAGAATATAATGTGGAAATTGAAGCTATTTAAGAAATTAGAGAACACAAATATAATTCACGAAAATTCCGAGGCGGTTTTAATTAAATAGAATATTTCGTAATATTTTGTTAGTGTAACTTATTGTTCTGTCTGTGGACTTTTTCACAAATTGCAGTCATTAAAAACAATCTGATTCATTATATGGTGTGGCTAATTAAGAGAATTTTAATGATTTCGATAACTATTGGTTTGGTGTTTTGGACGCAGGCAATCGTGTGGAAGAGAGCCGAAAACTGGGCGCGGTGTACTACTATTACCTGCCGTGCGGGGCGCTAGTGGCGGTCAACGCAGTGTGCCTGGTGATGACGCTGTGCCGCATTCGGGAATTGCGCCGTGATGTCCTGCGCCTCAAGCAGGAGCCTGGCTTGCTCCAGAGGTACTGCACATGCGCCTACGCGTACATCCTGCAGCTCTATGTAAACTCTGTGCATACTGTGTGCCTCTAATTAGTCACTGGTGTATCACAAGGAAATGAAAACAAAGACATAATGTACATGCCCATTCCTTTAATTAAAAAGGGAAACATTTTTCGGTTTATATATATATATATATATATATATATATATATATATATATATATATATACAATTTTTGTAGATATACAGGTTGGCCAGAGTTAACTGCTCCAAAAAAACAGTTTGTACAATTTTGGAATCAAAAATTGATCGAGGCCGACTGCGGCTAAGTTCATCTGTCCGACGGCGTGGGCAGTCCGTGTCAGTACGAATAGTTGCAGGCGGAGCCTCAAAACAAATCACAGCCAATAACCACGGGGGAGTGACCTTACACAATTACCTCATAGAAAATGGCGACATCGCTAGTTCCGATAATGAAATATTTTCAAATAAAAATACATGAAATAATTTTATGAAAATGATTATAAATTCATTAAAACAAATATACAGGTTCGTTCGTTCGTTCAAGATAAAAATATACCGTTTGGACAGTCGATTGTATAGTCAGATGCTTCATGAGTACAGCATACATCGTCGTTGCACTATTTTTACTATCGAGATATAAGGTCAACTTCGCTTTTTTAAAGCGAACTTCGCTTTTTTCTCGGCTAAATTCTAGAGAATAGTAATGGGCCTAAAAAGGCGATTACAAATAGTGTACATCTTTGTATTTAAGTGAATCGTTGAATATTGTAACATTGTTCCTTTGAAACAATATTTATTGGATCGGATTACTGAACGACGAGAAAACTTTAAAACGGATCCAGTTCTCTGCATAATGATGAGTAAAGAAATAAAGTTCAAAGCAATGAGAAACTCAGAAAAGAAGGATGCTTCCAATTGATGAAGGATTGCTGCAGGAAGAAAAAAATAGTAATTTGGATGAGTACCATAGTGTAATTCCTAAACTGTGGGTATTTCATTTTGTTGCTCTGTGATTCAACAATAGCTCTACTTGAACGAACTGAGATCAAACAATTATAAAATAGATTAGAAAAGCTTTAGGTAATATAGCAGAATGAATAAGGAAATACATTAGATTCGTCTTGCGCATATTTGTAGAATGTTTCATTGAGAATTTTAGAACATTCTACAGTTATTAAAGAAACGAGTTTACAGAGTGTAGTATAATTACACGAGTGGTATGCTCAAGAAAACGAGCGGCGATAGAAGTAAGTTTTCTTCCTTACAACGAGTGCAATTATCCCTCTTATTCACATGTGATGTTCAATATTTTCCATTTAAGATATCCGTTTCCATTTAAGAAAAATTATTTTTTTGAGAAATTCAATCATATCATTACAATTCGAGGGATACTTTTAATTACGTTATATTGGTGTTGATGTACTTGAGTGGCCCTTGCATTGTGAACTTATGACTGATGATAATGAAACGTTTGAAATTGGCAGATATTGAACATATTCCGGATGAAATATTAGAAGAGGCTTAAAAGGCCCTGAAAACATTACTTTTCTCGAAAAACAATGAAATGGGTTGCCGGGAATACATGTATTATTGTTAGTAAGTAGAAAAAGCACTCGCTTCTGACTCAAAAATGTTTTGCTGTCATACTTTTCAGATCGGAAGAATACAACTGACGTTTATATTTTTTACATTTGTATTATGCTAAGACCAAATGTTTTAGACGTCATACGAGAACATTTAATTTATTCACGTTAAATATATAAAATATATTTTTTCTTATTGTTATAATAATTTTACATCACTTATTATATAAAATCTAGCTAGGACGCTCTCTAAAGAGAATTACTAATACTCTAAAGAATATATATAGTGTTACAAGGCAATTTCACAGGGTAAGTGCATTGTTGCAGAGGGATTAAATAGCTAAACACAGAGCACGCACCGTGACCACTTTAGTCAGCGTCAGAAGTATGTTTCTTATTACGAGAGTATTCAGCAAGTGATGTCCATGTAGCTCCCGTTGATGGTTTAATTGATAGAGACTAATTGGGAGGGTGTGAATTTTCTACTTGCAGAGGGCTGGCTGAGCTGGAGCAAAACGCATGGTGCCTGCGCAGCTGCTACTGACGTCGGGAGTGTTAGAGCCGGGGTTGAGAGGGGTCTGCCAGAAAGCATAGTGCCTACCTAACGTATGCTAATTACGTGTTCGTACTATGCTACTCAACGTGAGCTGCGGTTGGCAACGCGGATGCTAAAGACGATGTTAGAGGCGTGGTTAAAGAGCATAGAGCTGAAGCTCTGCTCATGTTGTGGTCCGTGCTGTGAAGAACTTTGCTGTACGTGATGCTGGTGCAATAGCGGGGTGGATAACGTGTGCCAAAGTTCCTGTCTGTGTGCCCGCACCACGCTGCTGTATGTGAAGCTGCTGCTGACGGCGGGCGTGCTGGAGTAGATGTTAAAGGTCCCAGAGTGGATAAGGTGTGCTAAAGTTCCTGTCTGTGTGCTCGCACCGCGCTGCTGTATGTGAAGCTGCTGCTGACGGTGGGCGTACTGGAGTAGATGTTAAAGGTCCCGGAGCGGAGTTGTGCTAAAGTTCCTGTCTGTGTGCCTGCAGCGCGCTGCTGTACGTGAAGCTGCTGTTGACGGCGGGCGTGCTGGAGCTGGGGCTGGAGGCGGCCGTGTGGGCGTTCCGCCCCCACGTGGCTCAGAGCCGCCTGGGCTACTACCACGCGCAGCACGTGTCGTACGTGTTCTCCGCGCTGGGGAGCTTCCTGGACGTGGCGCGCGCGGCGGCGGTGCTGTGGCTGGCCGTGGGGCGGTGGGAGCGAGCGCGGGCGGCGTGGCGCTCGCTTCGCGACTGCGTCTGCCGCCGACGCACCGCCGCCGCCGCCGTCGTCGGCTCGCCCACCACCGCCACTGCGACCACCAGCGGCTCCGCCTCCACCGCCGAGACGGAGCGCCTCTAGTGCGAGCGATTTGAGGAGGTACGCCAAAGGGCCGCCATGTCGCTGGGCTTGTTAAGCCATTACGTTCAATGCTCAGCTTCCGTTGACGACTTTAAATGCTCGTCCACTTGCACGTGGTCTCTATCCTCGCGTGCATTGTCACCAGATGTCCTACAAGACTAACTTCCGATAGAGAGATTGTTTTATCATATCATTCACACTATTCCTTCTACGCAATTAAATGACCACATTCTCTGTATGCTAACACCAGATACAAGTGGCCCAGAAATATTATAGAAACATTAATGTGTTTATCAGCCTGTCGAATTTTGACAAGATATTTGATTGAGTAAAGCTTGTTTGACGTGATGAATACATAATATTAGGCAATATCAGACTTACATTTTAAGTTCTGGCAATACAATAATTATTTGTTTATTTATTTAACGTCAAAAAAAGTTCGTGGCGTTTATTGAGGGGGAGACAAGTTTCATGCTGTTTTTAAAGAAATCAAGGGGCTATTTCAGCATTTTATCAATAAATCAACAAATACTAGACGGAAATCTAGGCCATCAAAAATAAATATTCCAATCACTTTCCAAACACTTAAAAAAACTCCTAAACAATTGGCTTTATTTGTTGCATTAAGTGCAGAGAAAATACAATATTTTGTACCTAATTTATATGAAGTTAACTTTTACGAAACCGAAAACAGTGTCATAATAAGAATTATTATAACACCGAATGGACATTAATAACAAGTGTTATAATAATAATCCATGGCAATTGGATTATTATTATAACAAAAATATAATTATTATTGATATAGATTAATATTAAACAAATGATCAATTGGGTAATGAAATGTAAAAGTGTTCACAGAAATGTTCTAATAATACATGTGCCATACTTTCTGTGGAATTATACACACAAGTAAAATGTAATGTTATTATAATAATTAAAATATAAAATTTAATGGACGGTTTCAGTACTGACTGAGAATTCCATTGATTGTCTTCAAACTGACGATACTATAAATAAAAGAACCTGTTAGCAGACAATTGTAATTTAATCTGAATAAATATTAGTTAATCGCGAAGTACGTTATATTAAAATTACATTGAGTAATATTAACGGAATTTCTTTTGTGAAATAGTCCTATTAAATTCCACATGTGCTTTGGAAATTACCTATGATAATTCCTTGGGATTGATCAGTTTTTCAAAGACTTGGCATTTTGCGGTCGAGGCGTATTCCGCCCCTCCTGGCGCTTCTAGCTTTTGTAATTCCTCGGCCTAGTTTGAAATTCGTATTTCTTAACGTGTTAATTCTTTGATCCAAAAGAACATTTTACTGAATTACATTAGAATGGAAATTCTGGCTTCTCGAAGTTAACAAGTTACTTCAAGATGCACACAGCATTTGTCTAATCCTTTCCATAGCGGCCCTAATGACTAATTTATCGGTCGCGCGAAGTAATTTTCGAGGCCCCACCCTTGCTCGATTACGCAAGGGCATAAACATATCAACCCGAAGACGCCTAGCACCATCTAATAGTTCATTTCCAGAATTTATTCGGTTCTTGTCTCTATTGCAGCCGACAAACAAATGCGTTTTAGCACTATCTGGCCAGAACCGCATTGAAGACTTTTATAGAATAAGTTGTCACGAATCATTCAATAACGTCTAGAGTTATGGTGACCCGTCGTGTTTCTCGTAACAATTTTGCGTGTTTTGTTTATTGATATAGGTGTTCAGTGGAGGTTGTATATTGGCGACAGGGCAGAGAATCTCAGCAGCCATTTGGAGTTTTCGGATGACGCAACGACGACTGCCCCTTCTGCCCCTTCCACGACGATTCCGAAGGTGTCTCGCACGCTCCCTGCATGCGCAGCTTCAAATGAGAAGGGGGATAACTACATTTGTCATGATACTTTGAATAAATACTACACTCTATCTCATATTGAACCATTTAGAGTCGCCAGATGGCTTGAAGAGCCCCTTCTTTAAATGACGTTAAGCAATCACACATATTTTCAGGTTAAAGAGGGTAAAACGGAGAATTTACGAAAATAAATATGTTTTAGTACATAATGATACAGAGCAACTGTCAACATTTTTTCACCCAGCCATCCGCCCCTCCTATGCTCACGTCTGGCATTCTCTTGACGATTACTTCGACATGTTTGGTTTAATAAGAGCTGTCCTATGCAATTGAGCCCTTTTCCTCCTCAACTGTGGCTGTGGCCGTACCGTTACATTGATTGGCCGCACTGTGACAATTGATTGGGCCGCAATAATGTGGAATTGACAGTTTTTTAATATTTTCCAAAGTTTCATAAGGCACAACTTTTCATTTAATTTTATGAAATGTATTTGATTTTAAAAGTTTACAAATTGCTTGAAGGTCTAAAACGATGTCATAAATTACTTGTTTTCATTTTTCCGTTGCGAACGTACGAATGATTTATCTTTTGCAAATTTTACGAAAACTCTTTGTTTGATGACGTAAGTGAAGAAACATGTAACTATTACACTTTACCGCCGATAATTGTTTTTTCCCCTTATTTCGATCCTTGGCACTCGAAAACTTTACCATTAAAAACAATGAAAAATAGGCAATCAATAAAATCGTTTAATCGCCAACTCTCATGGGATGTTGAATAGGTCACCGCATTTAATAGATATTCAATCATTCGGAAACTTTCTCCTCTGTGAATAATACTATTTAAATCTCTTATTACTAAACAACTTTATCATATCCCAGCTTCCTAGTAAATTTGGTCTGTAATCATTTCCCGACATGTTTCGTGAAGAAGCCACTCTCCCGCTTCTTTTCTTGGCAGACTTCCATCTCCTGCAGCTTTGCTTGCGATCTCTGTCACTCGAGCGACGCGCATGCGCTGCCTTCTCAGGCAGGTGGCTTCGTGGGCCACTAAAAGGGAACGTGTTCCCTCTCGTACGCTGCATTCTGCATTCTGAGCTAAAATCAATGCCTCCGTATGTCAACAATTTTTTATTCTTCTGTTGTAGAATTTAAAGAACATTCTACAGTCGATATATGCACATTTTCCCGTAATTATTTGAAGGCATCATAAAATTGCCTAATTTCGTTTCATAGTCTAATTTTTTCTTTCAATATCACTGATGAAATTCATTGTAACACACTTAATATCCATATTTCTTAACATCTTTACTTTTTTTCTTCTTTAAAGAAATACCTCCTATTTGCAGGGTACCACCATGTATTGACTAGTCCCTAGGCTACGGATTCAAACCTAGGCCGACGAAGATTTAATTTGGAACTGGCAGATGTGAACACTAACGCCGCCCGTCCATATCCCCTAAATAATAACGCACTATGAAAAGATGCCGTTTATAAGAACATCGAAACACAACCTCATAGGAGTGCCAATGTCGGATAGGGAATTAGCACCCAGGCCTATATACCAAACCGACTCTCAAATATATTTAAGACAAGTTATAAAATATTTCTTACGCAAAACAAGTTCACTGCCAAATGAGACATTTTCTTTTTTGCATTTGAGACAAATGAGACGTTATTTGCATTCGAGGGGATTGCCATCATATGGAACGCACACTCGGAAACATGTGAATGAGTGTGGAGCTATTTAAAAAGTCGAGTTCGTTTTGGCGTTTCGACAAATGAGTTCATTGCTTTTAATGATGCCTTGTGGGAGTTTCTCTTACATTTTTGACCCACACTTCGAATCATGGTCCAACTAGTAATCATTATAATTGAAGTACTGAGAATCTCCGAAACGTCGGCACCTTCGCCACGGACGCGGCGTCACCCGCACAACCAAGTAAATACTGACTCCGGCCGCGGAAGCCTACGCTTTCACTGAAAATCTGTTTTACACAGAAATTTTTAACTGCATTTTGGTTAGGGAATTTTGGAATATGATAAACAAACTTTGTGAAATTATATCAAAAAGTTTGTGTATGTTTAAAAATTAAAAAAAAATTAAATATATATATATATATATATATATATATATATATATATATATGTATTTTTACTGAATCTACTGGACTTTTTTGAGAGTGACGTTTCATAGTTGTAGTAGTATATAATACTTAGGGGTTCCGTAGCATCTTAAGGGCTCATATGCAATGCAAACTTAAACGTAACGTAATGTAGTAAATTTCACAGTTCAATTTACACTTAATACCGAGCATTCACAATGGCGAACGTAAGTTTTATCTGTGACAATCAAAATTCAACGTTTTGAAACTAGATTGATTCGTTTCTGGCATGGTAGAAAGATCTTTCCACCCGAGTTTATAGCTTTTTCTTCGACTTTAATATCGATTTGTCTTTATAAATGAATAGGTGAAAACCAGAACGGTATTAATGACCCTTTATAAATTCTGAGAAAAAACGTGTTTATTTTTGGCTATATTTCAGTGGCAATGTATTTTCGTTGTTTTAATGATAATTTGAAATGCCGTGGTTTTAATGATGAAACAAAGTATCACAACGTTACAATAATATTGACTTAAATAAACTGATTTCGCTGAATTTATAAAATGTCACACCCGTTCTGGTTATCACCCATTCATATTTACGCTTAGCTGTAGTGTTAGATCTCGTATTTCCTTTACTTTATAAACAAGGATTCTCTTGTACCAAATTTATGAATAATTCATCGAACATTATTTTATTCGCCATGTCAAGCTAAATTCGAAAGAAAATGGTCCAAATTCTTACTTTAAATTCACCACATGCAACAAAACCGTTCGCAAACTAGTTCTCTACATTGTAATAACGAAATGACATTACCACAAAGTGCCTGAATCCAATCTGAAATTGACATTTAATTTGCTTCTTTCGGATTTTTTGTGGGTTTGTTTCTTTCATGCTGCTCTGTGATTGGCCTTCGATAGAATTCCGATCCGAATAAACTTAACGTAAAGGCTTGGTGCTTCTCAACTCTTTAAGTTTACGTGAGGGCGTTGTGAATGGTCTCGCTTAGTGACGTTACATCGTGAATGAG